AGTTGTTATTCTTCTTCTTGTCTCTTTGTTGATTTGATTTGTTGCAGCAAATGACCAATAAATAAATTATTTGTATTTTTTCTCTTCAGTGAAATAGCAGTGCAACATTAACACCCACTACAGTGAAAGGCAACACGTGATAACAATCCCTAACATAGTGAAATATAAGAATCTAGCGTGAAAGGCCACTTGTGTTAAGGCTCGTGGACTCTTGCTACATGCTCGTAATGAAATCACAGTAACACATTACGTGAATGTGAATCCGAGGGTTCGGTAGGTGTTGTAGACTTTTTCGATGGAGTTGGCATAGGCAGCTGTGCGGATGTCCAAGCCGAGGTTGTACTTGTGAGCTGTGCGAATGATGGCCTCACCGGCACGGGTCATGCTGTATTCGAGACCAGAGTGAACAATGTCCTAAAATCACCTCTGCTAACACTCTGCTGAATCCATGATGTTTTGAACTAACCTTCTCGCTAGCTCCGGCAATTTTGGCTTCAAATGCCTTGTTGGGTGTAACTGGGGCATTTTTGCCGATGGCCTTTTCCAGAGATTCTTGTACCGATTCTGAAACAATACACAACTGCTTTGAGTATGACATTTTGCGCAGTAAATTTACTTACGGAGGAGCATTCTGTTCGAGTCTTCTTCATATTTGAAGCTAAGTCGACCGTAAGAGACATGGTTAAGGTTCTTCAACCATTCGAAATATGAAACAGTTACACCACCAGAGTTAACATACCTAAATTCTCAACTTTAACTTGCTTGCTATCACTCTTGTATCTGACTTAATTTAGCAATAGTATCAGTGATTGGAGTGATTGATCACATAGTGCTAAACTAAAACCCCGCTCTAGCTCCAGTCTACAGTTTTCACCTTCAAAATAGTTCTTTTTAAGAATTCATCATTTTGAGTTGATTAAGTTTTCTAAGCTCGGTATTCTCGAGATCATTTTATCTGCTAATTCACAAAAAGCTGGAGCGCAATGACAGCTGATTAAATTTTCTTGGTAAGTTACTATCAAAAAATAGTAGAGTTTTTAAAAACCATTAAAAAGCGCTTTCTGATCTTGAACATCTTCAAATTCACATTATATCCACAATTTCTGATTGCAGGTAAAAAAATGAATAGGTTTTCATAAAGGTGCAAAACGTTAACTCATGAAAAACCGAATCTGCACGCAAATCCAAAAATTCCTTTTTGTAGTAAAATTTATATTTCATTTAAATATAAAAGAAAGTTAGCTTTCTAAAACCGCAAACTCTGCTGCAGTATATTGCGCACAAAATCGGTTGAGAAATATGGCGTTATATGGTAACAGTCTCTGAACGAATAATGGCGAACATCTGGATAGTTGTATAAGAGAGCTGAGTGCGCCTGACTTTTGTAAAATTTGAAATTTTGAAAATGATCTGTAAATGCCGATTTGATTTAAATGAACATAGAAAGGCATTTTTGAGCTCATCTTTCTAGTGGCGGTGTATATACCATACTTATCTTTGTACAAAACTATTTGACTAAAAAGAACTGTTATGTGAAAACTTGTGTGAACTTATAGAAAATCTACAAGAAATCAATTTATGCTGTTTCTGGAATACGTATGCTACTTTGACCTTGCAGTTTTCAGTAGTTTCACAAATTAAAGAAATATCAGTCGAAAAGATGTGTTTGCTCAGCGCGCGCGGAATGCGCACCGCGCTCACCTCAGACTACGCCCTGCGAGTGCTTGGGTGCAGGAGAAGACGACAAAATCCGAAAAAAATTCGGTAGGGATCATTACAATTTTGTCCAACTACTCCGGCGCTTTTTGCCTAAGCATATTCAGGAGAGGATCCTTTGCTTACAGTTTGTTGTAGGAAGTTGAAGTGTCAAAAAGATGTGAACGAAAATCGCCGTCTG